CAAGCGTACGAGGAAGTCAGATGATCATAAACTATTTTTAGTCAAATGACATTCCTACATAAGAAAATGCTGATATTATTTTATTCGCTAATTTACTAAATAAATGTTCGTTAAATGAAGTCAGCATTGCAAATTGTTTACCGTTTTGTAGCTTTCTTTTGTGTTCATTTATTCCATAAAATCAAGGTCAAAGTATTGGCATTTTATAATTTTTATTATTGGTAATTGATTTAATATCTACTTGTAAATTCATACATCAATTTATATCATTTTTGTTTCAGATGTACGATAATTTCATATGTATTGAAAAGGTTTCTTCTGCGAATTTCCCGTTGACATTCAAATTTAAGGTATGTAAATAACTTCATTAACAACATTATGATCCGTAACTGCGAGTTATTACAATATTTATTTAAAATAATTTAATGTCTTTTCTTTACACTGAGAGACTAGCCGGGGGTACAATCCGAAGAATGGCTACCATTTAATCGCCTCAGAACCGCGAGATTCGGTCTCGATACTTTTTCTAGGAGGGCTGTTATTTATGTTGGAAGAATCTGGACTGTAAAGTCTAGATATACGTCAGGATTTTTTGACACCAGTTAATCGAATTTAGCTATGCGGATTAACACGCGTTTCTCTTCGTAGAGAAAATAGGTTTGATTCAGACGGGAGGAGACATTTCTTTAACAAATAAAAATTTTTAATGAAACAGGATAACCAAAATTATACAAGGGAATAATTAAAATAAACGTTTCGATAGAGAGAGCTTACAATTTCAATGATAATCATACTACTTCTAAATGATTTCTCTTTATCTTCACCTGTGATTTCTTTATACTTCAATTTTTGCAGTTCATATACTTCAGCTCGTGGGGAAAGAACTTGAAAGGCACATAATTATAGTTTCTTCTAGTCTTACTAACTTAAACTCATTAACAAAAATCGCTGGATACGACTATGGGCGTCAGCCTTAGGGATGCGGTATGGAATACGTTAGTCTTCTATGAGATTCCTGGGCGTACTCGCCGACTCATGAAAAATTCTCTCTATTTCTCACGATTGGTCAGCAATCAGTTTTTTGGATTCTCGCATGTGAACATTTTGTTTTCGAAATAATATTCAATGCTTTATAAAGCGTAATTGATCTTTCTAAAAACAGTTGTATTCGCCATCGATAAAAGAGTTGGACTGATCTCAGGCTACGAAATGACTTTAGTAATAATTTAATGAATGTTTTATGCTTTCAACTTTAAATATACATGTATATACTAAACGTTTATTGTCGGCCTCATCTAATTTTTTTTTAAATAAAGTTTGTTTATTGTAATGATACAGAAAAGATGTAAACTATATCATTTATACTCGAAAAATCAGGTCGTTATAAAAGTTTATTGCAAATATTTAATAAATATNCGAATGAAAAATTTAATCCAGACGAGAATGTATTTAGGAATGAGAACTGGCAACACTTCGTAGAACGTACAGCGCGCGTCGTATAGTAAGTTTTGATATTGGTTTGTCTATCGTTTTATGTTGCGTTTATTCGACATTACAGGATTTAAAATCACTTGCGATTCGTATTTATTACTGTGTGACCATCTTCAAACATGGTAAAGTGTATTCAATTCTTTATTTTACAGAATAACGATCTTTTTAACTGTCAAATTTAACCTTTGTTTATTTTTTGAGAGTTAATGACTTCAAATAACAGAATTTAAACTGTTTTTAGTAAATGATTTATTTTTATACTTAAGTCATTTATCCTTACAAATTATTCAATGAATTTATTGAATGATTATTTGTTATTTGTAAAGGAAATTGCTTTCACAAAATTAAAGTCAATTAAATTGAATTAATTCCCACTGAAATCACAAATAATAGTTTACATGAGCTGAAATAAATATAAAGAAAATGTAGGTAAAATGCAAACTCTAAATGAAGGATTTCCCACCTCCACAGTTATAGACTTTCCCTGTATGAGCAAAAAAATCAATGGAGCCCTGTATGTGTGACCCTTCATAACATATTTGCCTTTTATTGCGTATTCTCCATGCTTTGGTGCTTGCTCGCACCTTAGTTTTAGGTGGTATGGGGCAAACTCTTATGCTGCCTATAACTATATGATGTGAAGTACTCCACAAACAGTTGAGTGGATATGGATATTTGAAGCCAGCATAGTCACGTGGGCTAAATAGTTAGTGCAAGAACTATGGAGCAATGCAACTCCTAATTGCATGCGACCTGGAAATAGACTGATTTCATGAAGCTGTATCTTGCAAAGGTTCATGTATATAGGTATGATTCCTTTGATTCTTTTGCTCCTTTTGATATGGTCTATGCCTCTGATAAGGCCCCAACAATCTTATTTAGGGGTGTAATTGTACCAAAATGTAAACAAATAAAATAATGAATTAGAATTTGAAATATGAAAACTACCCTATTTCATTGTTAGTAAAAATATGTAGAAAGTCTAAAATGTCTTCACTTTCGCCATGTCCAATTACTGAGAACGACAATCTTTTGCTGCAGAGACAACCTTTTGGAGAACTTTTAGACTGTTTTGCATGTTTTTGCAGAGGCGTAGCCTCTAAAGAATGGTCATCTCTGCAATAGAAGATTGTCGTTCCTGTTATTATTATTTATTATTGGACATGGCAAAAGTGAAGACATTTTAGTCTTTCTATGTATTTTTACTAATGTGTAAATTTGTCAGCCAACTTTTTTCAAAAGAATTACTATTTTATTGTTATTGGGTACAGCTAGATGAAAAGCCACTTGATATGTTGGTAATGTTAGAAATCAAGATATTTAGTAGTTGGACATATTTTACTATATTTAATTTACGCTGTATTTTCAACCAAGAATTGAATTAAGTGGCAACGTCACATGTAAAAAGAGCACTGAAATTGAAGATAGAAACTGAGAGCAGCAAAATTTTTCAATTTACATTGACTGAAGCATGGCTGAAAAGACAGTTAAGAAAATTTTCAGTATGCATAGTACTTGTTTTATAACATCTTATGATAGGCGACAAAATAGTATGTCATTAGGTCATATGCAATTACATACTATTTTGACCAGTTCCAGTTCTCGGGGAATTTAAAAGACAGAAAAATAAGACAGCAGAAAGCATGACACCAATTCAGATGCATATGTAGAAGGAAATATGCTTGCTTGTATAATAAATTGGATTCCACTTATGATATTTTATATTTAACCCTGCGTTAGTGCACTGAGTTTTTTTTCGGCATTAGTGCAGTGGGGCTTTTGTCCACCCCGACATTTTTTTTGGTCCATAAACCATGTAAGTAAAAATTCATAAAGATTTACNCAACGACTTTATGAAGAGATTTGGAAAGATTCCTCTGGGAATATCTATGGGCGGATTCTTTCATATTAAACGCGACTTCCTGATAAAGGTATGTTCTGGATTATTTTAATTATATATTAATACACATCATTGATTAATGCATTAAACACCGCTATTTTCAGGTGATAAGTGCGGTTTATTCGACATTTTCTTCGTGCGTTCAAGTCAGTGGAATTTTAGAAAAGGAATCGAAATGTATGCTCAAACAAGGAAACAATACGCATCGTGTTGAAGGGTTCTTTATAAATAATTATTCAAATGACATAGAACCTAACTATAAAACATATACGACGTTAAATCCTGTAATGATATATAAGTTTATAAACTAAATTATTTTAAAACTTAATGCATGGATTGTAGCAATAAATAAATTGTCTTAAATCTGTAGAATAATTTTCTTTAATCTGTTCTCCGATTATCGTAATTCAGAAATTCAATTTCCATCGTTTTATAGGAAATCACCTGCACACTTTCTAAATGTGTTAAATTGTAATAGAGTTGTATAATTTTTAATATTTTATGCTGGTTGTAATAATTTTTTGTTAGACGATGATATGAAAAGAAATTAGAAAATGTATTGCATGCTTGTAATTACTTTGCACCAAATTACTGTAATTTATTCATATAGTAATTATATTTTCTCTGTTATTTTATAATAAATTTGCATCATATATTCATTAATGTCTATCGTATATAATATGTGTTATTACACTGTACTCATTGCTGTACTTTTATATTTAGAAGAATTGTCATCTGTAACGTATGAAGTACTCTGTAAACCCTGCGTTAGTGCACTGAGTTTTTTTTCGGCATTAGTGCAGTGGGGCTTTTGTCCACCCCGACATTTTTTTTGGTCCATAAACCATGTAAGTAAAAATTCATAAAGATTTACTCATTTATTTGGTAAAGGCATGTGTAATTATACATATGATTATATTCAGGTATGATTACATATGATATTAGTTCATAAATCCACAGGACAGCTATAATATACAGCAAGGCCTATTATCAATGAGAGAATTAATGGTTGTCTAAGATATCCATTGCCAAGCTGGTTCCACTGCAGCGCGTAAGTTGTCTACGGTATGTGGCTATGATCCCTGGGCACCTCACGTTGGACAAAGTCCCACGGGTGTTCGATAGGAGATAGATCCTGCGAGGTTGGCCTGACATATCTGGACGGACCACCGCCCAAAAATTCCTAGAGATCTTTCGACCTGCCCAGATTCGATCCCAAGTTCCCCAGAGCGGTAGGTGGTCACCTTGACCACTCAGCCATCCGACCGTCAGACAGGGTTGATCATTAACGCTATCAGTTAAATCGAAACATCTGTTTTCCTGTTGAAAACTAGTAGAGTTTTATGAGTAAAATGCAATTATTGAATAAATACTGTAAACATATCAGACATTATTGAATTCAATATTAATGAATTCAATATCATGGACCATTCCAATAATTAAGATCCAATTTCCCATACTTATAATTTTAATATCCAAAACTTCTGTTCTAAAATCATTAATAATAAATTAATAATTTAATTCGAAATTTATTTTTATTTTAATATTTAACACATTGCTTGTTCTCGAATGAAAAATTTAATCCAGACGAGAATGTATTTAGGAATGAGAACTGGCAACACTTCGTAGAACGTACAGCGCGCGTCGTATAGTAAGTTTTGATATTGGTTTGTCTATCGTTTTATGTTGCGTTTATTCGACATTACAGGATTTAAAATCACTTGCGATTCGTATTTATTACTGTGTGACCATCTTCAAACATGGTAAAGTNAATAATGTAATTTTATATATTGTTCCAAACAGAATCTTTGTTCAATAACCTGATGAAGGCTTATTAATCAAACCAAAAATATTAGTTGTATTGAAGTTTAAGTTGCTGGAAAAGTACTGTACATAAGGTATTTTATATGTCTAGTTACTGTTTAGTTTTAGCTTATACCAGTATCTATAAAATCATAAAAAATGAACACTTAAGTCAGTTTCCGATCTGTGCACTGGGGTGCTGCCAAACTTTGGCAAGGGTGCCTGTTGAGGTTATTGTCGTGCACCTACTCAGTGTTAAAAATGATAAAATGACAATGTTTGCATAGGCTTAATTTTTGTTGTACATAAATGAGTTTCTATGGGATAGTATTAATTCTGTTGTCATTGATTATCTTGTATTTCCTATCAGGGAGGTTAGTAAATTAGTATTAATGAATATAAAGTGAATTCAGCATAAGCTTCTTTACACTCCTTGAAGTCCTTTGTTTCTTACATGCTGTGCACCAAATCATTATTCTTAAGTTCAGAGGAACATTCAGGAAATAACTCTTGGCACATAGTTTTGTGGAACTCATTGCTAGGCAATATTTCCCAATCAATGCCTTGGTTTCTTTGGAAAATTCAAGAATTTTCCTGTACATTCTGTCCCAGTTTATATTAATAGGCAGGCTGTTCTGAATTGTCAGTTTGTTTTTACCAGTTTAGTCATGCAATGCTTGCTTCATTTATATTTTCAATATTTATAGGGGGGTAGGAGGCATTACTCAGTGGTATATCCTCAAAGAGATGAAAAGAAGTGAGAAGGGTTAGTCAGAGGGAAAGTCTGTTGTGGCAGGGGCCGAAGATGGGTGAGAAGTGGAAGGGGAGGTCAAGAGCCACACCGGGAACTTTATTTAAAACATAAACAGGTTACATATGAAAATAATATTTACAAAAGAAAACAAGAGAGGCACAGATTTTTAGGTCCGTACATAAAAACACGGCTATAAGTTCCTTAACACAAAGTAGACATTACCTGGCTTAGTATTATAAAATTTACAATATTAATATCAAAATGGTGACTATTATGATTAGGTTAACAGGAAATACTGCTTTGCAGATAGAGTTGTAACTCAACTACACACAGCTATACATAATACAAGTAGCTATATAAGTGCATTAAAGATCTTTTTATTTCTAACTAAGATGTTGTGGTCGCAAGGCCAGTTGTATCCCTCCTTTAACACTGTCCTTAGTAAATTCATCCTATGTTGGGTGTATTGGTTGCAGTCGAATATGAGATGATGTGCGTCTTGTTGTGAAGTCCCATTGCGCTGACAATGCGGGGAGTTCCTGTGCCCAAATCTGTTTAGGTAGTCCAGGAAATTCCTGTGGTTGGTGAACAATAGTTCTAAAGTTAATGCTGAGGTGTTTAAGCTGTAGCCGCTGTGCAATGTCTGGGAAGAAGCTGAAGGTTGTCCTTCCTGTCTCTTCCTCTTCCCAGTTGTGCTGCCATATGTTGATCATAGTGTTCCAGATGAGTTTCTTGGTTGCCACCATCGGGATGTCTTCGAAGGTAATGTCGGTAGTACTCGAGGAGACCTCTCTAGCAAGGCGGTCAGCCTCCTCGTTACCAGTGTCACCAGAATGTGCCCATGTCCACATGATGCTACCAGTTAGCTCCTGAATGATCATCCATTGAATGTTACCACCCAGCTTACCACTGGATATGCTTTGGAGACAGGGCTGGATCATCGCGTAGACAAATGAGACAAATGTCTAGGGCCCGGTCAAACTGTCTATTTTGAAAAGATTTGTAAATAAGATAGTTTACTTTTCTGTTGGACAACTGTATATAATAAACAAAAATATACAGTATTGCTTTTTATATGGTTATAGTGAATTCTAAAATCTAAAGAAAATGAATGTGGGTTTAGAAAGTTTCCGAACTTTTTGAATAGCGTGCCTCCAGTTGGTTATTTTTTAATTCGCTTGGAGATGATGTGTCTGCGGAAACCTCCCGAGTAACCTCCTTCAACCCATTTGTTGATATCTTATTTTGGTGATTAGTTACTGCTGTTTATGTGAAGGGGTGTTTGTGGGGTTCGGCGAAAAATCGGATCCGCGGAAATCAGCTCTTTGAAAGAGCAGCGTTGTTCTGTGAAATTTTGTGTGAAACTCCGAAAATCCTTCACAGAAACTTCCCACAGGTGGGTGAAACAGTGCTTCAAAAAAGCTCGACAAGTTCACTCAAATGTTAAGGTGATGTTGACTGTTTTTTTCGATGCAAAGGGGGTTGTGTATTACAAATACCTATCTACAGGCCAGACAGTCAACACAGAGTATTACTTGGTGTTATGAAATGCCTAAGAGACAGAATCAGGCAAAAACGGCCTGAACTTTGGAGAAGCGGCGAGTGGTTTTTTTCATCACAACAATGCGCCGACTCATTTGTTCTTCAGAACTCGTGAGTTTTTTGCCAAAAACAAGACCGCTGTGTTTCCTCCCTACTTACCTGACCTGACACAAAGAGACTTTTTCCTGTTCTCCAACAAACAAAAAAAAACACGCTCAAAGAAAAAAGATTTGCCACCATTCCAAAGATAGAAAAAAACGACGGAGGAGCTTATGAGCATTCTGGAAAAAGTGTTCCAGGACTGTTTCAAAAAGTGGAAACACCGTTGAAATAAGTGTATCTGTTGCAGAGGAGACTACTTTGAAGGGGACCCTGACAAATATGTGAAGTATGTGAGTAATTTTTTGTAATAAATAAAGTTCGGGAACTTTTTGAACAAACCCTCGTATTTTTATGTTTCTTCTAATTGAAAGTTAAAGGGAACTCCCAATAATTTAGAACTTTTTTTTATAGTGATAAGAATAATATTAACTATATGTATTTTTGAATCCTGTGAAAAATTAAATAATTTTGCTTTTATTTTTATTAAGCAGCTGCAGTGTCCGTATGCAATTTAATAGAAATAATAGTAACAAAATTTATTAATTGAAAGAGCTGGCAGGGGACTCTGAAGAAGAAAATGTCTAGGGCCCCAAAGTGGGTTAATCCGGCCCTTTTTGGAGAGCAGTTCTACTGTCCGAACAGATATAGATGTTTTTGCCCTTGAGCTTAGTACTATTAATGTACTTGAGGGCTCTGTAAATGGCATACAGTTCAGCCTGAGTAATAAAGCAGAACCCTGCCAGGCATGGGATTCTTTGTGCATGAACTGATTATTTCAAGTATTATAGTGGACCAGACCAGCACCCATCCCATTCTTAGATTTAGAACTGTCCATATAGACAATATTATATGGAAGGGAACCCATTGAGACCTCTGGTAGATGAGCAGGGTGATGCAGTGGTGAGTAGGTGGTCTGAAAAGTGGTGTTGAGGCTGGGGTGAAACAGGTGGTCCATTTCCAGATTGGGTAATCTTCCTATGTCTAGAAGTTTTTTCCCGTAGGTATGATGAGGTGTGTCAGCTTCCAGAGGATCCTATTGGCCTGAGCCTTAATTAAGACTCATAGGTGGTAACCCAGTCAGGACTTGGAGAGCTGCCATGGGAGCCATTTTGTATTTCCCTGATATCCAAAGAAGGCATACACGTTGCACTTTGTTAAGAGCCCTCCTGATGTGGACCTTTGAAGCTGCTGCTCCCCAGATTGGGGCACCGTACAAGACTAGGCACTATGACCTGTCTATAGATATTTACAAGAATGTCTCTGTTGATCCCCCAGCTCTTACCGGCCATGTAACTGAGGAGATTAGCCAGTTTGAGGGCTTTCCCACATACATAGTCCACATGTGAGTTCCACTTAAGTCCCTGATCGATAATTAGGCCCAAGTACCTCATTTCTGTGGTATGAGGGATCCTTGTGTTCTCAATTTTTAACAAAGGTGGCTTGCAGAGTTGCCGGCCCTTCGACATCTGCATACAGAAATTTTTACATGTTGATGATAAGTTTATTTTTGCTGCTCCATTCGTGGATATGTGTAAGAAGCTTGTTCGCCTCAACCTGGACTTTTTCACCATTTCCACCAGATACCATGACCAGGGTATCATCCACATACCCTTGTATTGCCCAGGTTGCCGTCATGTCGTTGGGATTGATATGCAGAAGCCTATCATACATGATGTTCCACAGTCCTGGCCCTGACCGAGAGCCCTGTGGACACCCCGGGACATCTTCTGCATAATGAGTTGGTCCGAGTCATATATGCCTACCATCTGATTACTTAGGTAGTCACTAAGAAATGCAAATAAGTTATTTAGACAGTGTTGCTTCTTAAGTTGATGGAGTAGGGCCTGCCACCAGAGGGAGTTGAATGCATTCTTGTAATCAATTGAGATTAGTAGCACATGACGTTTTCTATTCCAGTCATTGTTTATAAACTGTATGGTCTTATGTAAGGCATGGTTAGTAGACCTTCCAGGAACAAAGCCAAACTGTGCATGAGATGATTTTTGTAGAAATAGAAGTTGATGCAGTTGACAATTAGTCCATCAAGGACTTTCCCAAGTACCGGGAGGAGACTAATTGGCATGAAGTCTGTGGCTGTAAAAGGTTGTGACTTACCCGCTTTAGGGATAAATTTGATTTCTGCTTTCTTCCAACTCTGTGGGAACTGTGCCTGTTCTAGGCATTTATTGTATGTGAAAATGAAGGCTATGGGAACTGCCTCGAATGCTTTCTTGACCATGAGAGGGGTTATCTTGTCGATTCCCGGTGCTTTCTTGTTCTGAAGAGACTTAACTGCTGCCTGAACCACCCTGAAGGTGAACATGATGTCATTATTAGAAGCTGGGAGGGTCAAGATACTGTTTCTAATATCCTTGTGCCATTGGCTGTCGTCTCCAGGATCGTCTGATGGAAGTGGACATTCAGGATATATTTGTGGGTTTCTAATAAATCATTTGTTATTGTGCCATCTTCCTTTTTGATGTTTACTGGAATCTTGATGGCTTTTCTTGGTTTCAGTATATATGATATATGATATGATATGGATCACTTCATGTGGTCCTG